AGGTTTGGGTGTAAATCCGGGGGTGTGAAGTGTGTTTATCACAGTGTTCTGTATCAAGGCTGTTCTTGAGCCACAGTCACGGGGGGTGTGTGTGTGTGTGTGTGCGTGTGATCTGTGGGACACAGGCTGTGTTTGCGTGACACAATGCAATACCAGGGTGGTCCTTGCTCGGATCTTCTCCAGGTCTGCGATCCATATGAGAATCTAGGAAAAGCCTGAATCTCAGCAATACCGTGCTGGGGCCTTTCGATCGGATTGTTTCTGAATGCTAACCCCCCTACCTCGCCCCGCTAACCCAGCGCTAATTACACCCAGGACGAAGACACACACGGAAAGCCCTTGAAAATAAGGCTTCGGCACATCAGCTTCTGTTCAGCTGGAGGGTTCTCTGCCTTCTTCAGACAACCTTACCCCCACCCCCGAGCCCTCCTAACCTCTGTAGCCGAAAGTGAGCACTACTCCTCTCTCTCATTAACCGCAAGAGTCAGTTTTTTCAGATGATGAGCAATTAAGACAGAAATTAACACGCACAATCAGGCCAGCTCCTCGTTGCTACTGCCGCTGCCGCTGCTGTTGTTGTTGTTAGCAGGGCTTTTATTTTATTTTTTCCCTGCCACCTTTCTGCTAACTAGTACTTCTGTAATGCGCTCGTATCTCTCCTGCAGCACTCTGCCAGCTCTTAACAAAGCCTAACTGCTCAGTGTAAGGCAACAAATGGAAGATAATAGGGCACGTCGAATGTTAACAATTAGATCTTAATCAAAGCCAGCTCACAAAGACTGCTCTTTTATCCCTGGAATTCAGAGGAACGCAAACAAAGCAGCAGAAACTGCCAAGATAAAATACTACTTCTGAATAATCATGTCACTCTGTTTAAAAGCCAAGTAATCTCCGTACTGTTAAACCTGCTTGCCGAGATGGTGCGCTAGAAGACCCACATGTTCGATAAGACGACCGCCATCTTTATAAGAGACATCTCCCTAGCCGTTCTGTGGATAATTCTGCGATACAGATGAATAGTGAGGAACTGGAAAGAGCCTGACTGCTCTCCCACGGGTCTGGTCTCTGGGTGCCAGCCCAGCAGTGAAACCCCCACAGACACTGGCAAGCCCATCGGGTCCGGAGGGGGAAAAGGCGATGACAGGTCAGGAGGACATTAACTGCCTTCTGAGACGGGAAATTTGGGCAAAGGCCAGCATGTGTTAAAAGACCGGTTGTCTTCTTGCCTGGTGGCTTGCTCCCTTTATACACCCATTGACAGGGTTGGATCTACAGCACAGACTAACACAGTCTATGGAACCATAGCTAAGACCATCATTCTCACGCTTGGCCAGACCTGAAATGTATGATTACTAGGATCAAACTGCATCAACGACCAACTCAGCTACTTAAAAATCATAATGTAGTCTTCATATTGATTGTTGAGGAATGCTCACCTATTCTTCAATGGCACAGCTGTCGTATTATATAAATGGGTGCAAAACACCTTAACTTTAGAAGCATCAGTGATGGCTACGTTTGAGATCCATCTACTGCCTCAGCCAGATCTCGACTTGACAATTAGATTTAAGACACAACAAGAAAACTGGCAGTTTTCTCTCTAAGGAGGCCAACATTTTCCATCTCCAGTGGAATATAGTGTTCTCTGAAGCATACAACAGGTTCCCAGTAACAGGCTCTTTTCACACTGTGACCAAATACACTGTATATGCTTTACAGATGAAGACCAGGCTGCCAGGAAAAAATGCACAGGCTGATCGGAACCCATTTTTTTTTTCTTGAGAGAGTAAAGAAAAAAAAGGTAAAACATCCGATTTCCTCTACTCCATGGAAAGAGCTACGTCTGCCTTGTTTTGAAACAAAATTTCCCTCAAAAGCCCTTTCTGAAAACTAAACAAAATTGACAGTCTCTGGATTTATGGACCTCTCCTCCTTTGTTTCAGCCTGCAGTGTTTCGAACTTTGCCATGGAAACTCAGTGATTATTTACTCTCCTGCTATATTACAATAACCTTCCCTTTCCTGAACAAACAACGAAGGAAATGGCAGGTCAAGCCTTTTTTTCCCTTTTTATTATCTGGCAAATTCAGATTCCAAATGTTTTTAGGACATTTTGCGTCTGTTTCCAGAGACACAGGGTCGGTATTTTAAAATTGAATTTGAATTTGTTTTTCTACCCTGGAGCTCCCAAACAACTCAATACTGACTTGGAATGAATCATAGCAAACAGATGCACACAGGACGGAGTGTGAGACGTTCATTTCTTTCTTCTTCATAATCAGTTATTATTGTGAAGCCTTCACTGCCTTCTCTGCTTAGATGTCAGCTCATTAAGGACACCAAACCATCAAACAAAACGAATTAGAGAGGCCTTGAACAGAGCAGACTAGTATCTCCAAAGCAATTCGTTAGGAAGGCATCATTAAACTGGAGGACAGGCCATGCTGCAGCGATCTTTAGATCAGTGCATCTGGTATCAATAGTCAATACTGTATTTGCAACAGAGGGATTACTGTCCAGTGACACAGTGTCTAGCAGACTGACAAATATCCCTTTTCATTAAATTCCAGTCATCTTCGGCTTCATCTCAGCGCTCTCGATCTCAAACTGTCTCAAGTTTTTCGTACGATGTCAAGTTCTCACAGAAAAGCTGGATATGTAAAAGGGTGACAACTCTCATTCGGGACCTTGTGGTTTTCATGCCTGCGGGGTCTGACTGAAGCTATTGAGCTTGAAGAAGAAGAAACAAACCTGGTTCAGCCCTTTATGATGCAGAACTGAGCATTCCCAGTGAGGAAAAAGGTGAAACCCAAACTTCGGAAAAGTGAAAAGAAGCATTTTGCCATGATATGAATGAACAAAAGGATGAGGTACAAACAAATAGGTATCTGGTAGCTTGACTCTGTGCTCTAGGCAGGGCCTGGTGCAGACACTATTTATGCAATGGTGATGGGACTGCTGGTAGCCAATATGTTCAGGGGTGCCCATTTTAATATGACATGGCTCAGTAGTTATGATAACGATAGCCCCTGTGGGTATATGCAGAAACATGCGCAGGACAAATTCATTCCACGCTAATAAAAATGCCTTAAAAAACAAGGTGCTGTCACACATACTGTATGAGAGTCCTTTTCTCAATAGTGATATGCTGTTTGTAGAGTAATGCTGAAACACATCTGAGCGATAATGCACAACACAATTTAAACTCTGAACAAGAAATAGCCTGGCTTCTCTAAATATGTCATGAGCTTTTTGTGGTTTCATACATAATTAAGGAACATTCCGCTAGTTTGTGAACCCACTACACACTAAGCATTGCCTAAAGGTGTCTGCCCCTTAATATTAACTTAAATATGAAGTAACAGTTTAGAAACTCATGTTTAACTTCTATTATTAGAGTTTTCTCCTTCTAACCATGTTAGAAAAGTTCTTATTCTTTCACCAGTATCTTAGCACACTTATTTTAGTGGGGATTTGCAACCTAGTCCCATGTTGAAAAGGCAGATCCTTGTAATGCAACATCTCAGATCTTCTGCCAGTTCTATAATTCACTAATCCACCCATTCAAGATGTTTGGCTTTTTTAAACTAGCCGTTAAATATTCTGACTTCCATTCAGCGGAACGTTTTTGAAGTCTCACAAACATGGGTGTCTAAGAATTTCACAATAAATTAAATAAACTAAAAATGTTTTCCACTATGTGTATTCAAGAGTTTCCTGCATTTTAAAGTTTTTTTCCTAAATAAAGTTTTCAAATACTAAGACATGTTATTAAGTATTGAGAACACTACGCGCTCTTTGCAGATAAAATCTTGATCTTATTAATTGATATCACACAAGTGCATGACTTGCATGAAAAATTTGTCTGCATTTACGACAATTCAAACAATAGCAGTCATATCACCCTGCAGCTCACAGCTGGCAGCCCACTGAAGCTCAGCAGTGTGAGCCTGGCCAGTACCTGGATGGGAGACCTCCTGGGGAAAACTAGGCTTGCTGCAGGGGAAACTCACCCTGCAGACGGTGTGGGTCCTAATGCCCCAGTATAGTGACGGGGACACCATGTCAAGATTCCCTCCCCCTTAAGGGCGCTCCATCTCCGGTTTTTAACTCCGTCTTGGATGGACCTCCCGGCTCTGGACATTTGCCTCGTCAAGGATTTCCCTATGGACACTCTTTGGACTGTTTGCCTTGGACTTACCCCCCAGAACACCAGCGCACCGTGGACACGCCCCCTGTTTTCCTTCCAGCCCCCTCGCATGCTTTTTTTCCCATGTTTTCCTCACTCCCCGGATTGTGTTGTCTGCATAGGGTCCTGAAAGAACGCTTTGTTACACACCATACTGTAATAAGGCGATGTCCTTCGGATGAGACGTAAAACCAATGTCCTAACTCTCTTTGGTCATTAAAAATCTCAAGGCATTTCTCAAAAAGAGTAGGAGTGTTACACTAGCATCCTGGCCAAATTTCCCCCTGGCCTTTACCAATCATGGCCTTCTTATAATCCCCATCTCTGAACTGGCTTCATCACTCTGTTCCCCTCCCCACTGAGAGCTGCTGTGTGGGGAGCGGACTGGCGCACTGTGGCTGCTGTCACACCATCCAGGTGGGGCTGCACACTGGTGGGGGTGGAGGGGAATAAGTGTAAGGAATTATTATTAATATTCTTTCAAGTACACAACTTGTCATGTATACGTCAAGGCCCAACATGGAGGCAGAGAAAGAACACGAGCGCAATCCTTTCCACTGGGAAGTATTCTCATTAGCTCACCAGGCAACGAGGGAGGAAAAGAGGGTGACAGGAGCCAATGACTGTGGAGGAGAAGCAGGTGCTATTAAATCAGAAAAGACAGAGGAGCGCCGTTCAGAAACATGCATCGTTCCCTCCCGATGTATTTTAAAACTGCTCCTGCTCCTTTTTTTCTCAGGAACACATGGGAACACTTAAGGCAGAGAGCTGGCAAGTGTCCTTAGCAACCCGCCGCATCTGTTTCCGTTTACCTTAGCGCTCTGACGCGATGTGCCCCTGTGCATCTGCTACTGTGCGGCGCGCGCGGTTCCGCATGGCTGCTCTCTCATTTCGGATCTGGCCGGGACCGGGAAGCTGAGGGGCGCTCCGACAGCCGACATCCCCTCTGCTGCCGGCCTAGAGAGAGCTGATGGGAGGAGGGGCGTCAGGGAGGAGCAGCCGATGCAGAACACGCATGGCGTCTCCCTCGCCCACGGGTCCACCGCGACTGCGCCAGGAGGCCACTCAGCTGTTCGGTCAGGACGTCCAGCAGCTGTAGGCCGCGACTACACTGTTGACTACAGAACGGTCACAGTGGCCATTTTTCATTTGATACCCATACAACCTGGGATCTGATGCCAACTGAAGCAGCAGTGCAGGCTCCTGTGCAGCCGGGCACATGTTGTGCCGCTAATTTCAGTCACACTGGGCTGGTTACTGTGGCTCAGACTCCGAACGCCTGCATCATAGAGCTCAGCCTGCACTCTTAACAAGCCCTCCTGGGGCACTGACCCCTCTGGGAGGCCTCTGAATTTCCTGATTTTGACTGAATGGTCAAGATCGGTCACTTAGAAATTTAAGAAGCGCCCTCTGCACAGTAATACCACACTCCGCAGTGTAAAAGTGACATGAGCAGAGCAGTCCATGACTGAAGAGGCCGCCCTGCGTTACAAGACTAGCAAACACTGTTGCTGAAAATGGGAAAAAAAAACTTTTATACATATGAGTAATGCTTTAGGTTTTAATTTGCATTTTCTTTATTACAGGCTGAAGGATTCTTTATCTGCTTACTTGTTGCCTTTTGCCTCAGGTGATGTGTATTGCAAATAGCCTAATCACTAACAACTATGATGCAGAGCCCTGGCAATCAGTGCGCAGTGCTTCTCCAGATTCAGTGCCAAAAACTGGAGGTGGATACAATCCTCAATCACTTCTGCGAATCTCAGGGCAGAAAGGGCAGCTTCAGCTCGTTTTGCACATGGTAAAATATTCTGAAGATTACGTTTTGCTGTAGAACAATATAAGAAGTTAAAGTCCCGAACAAGGGAAACACTTCTGGGACACAAATCCTAGGTACCAGCCTCACAATACACAGCAGCAACGATGACCCCCATCTGTTCCCGACAATAATGAACGAGACACAGCAGGTCTTCTAGCCATGGGTGACTTTCCTCAGCCACACTGCCCTCTTTACACTCAAGCCGCTGGATAAATGTCAACACACCTGAATATGTACCGAAGACAGAGCCAACGACAATCCACCACTTCATCGGTACTCCAGACTCAGGGCTCTTCTGGTTTCGAAGTGCTGGAGAAGATCCTGGACAAGTTGGGTTGACTGGGCTCCATAATAGATGTTAGCTGGCTGGGGTGTGATTGGCAGGATCTCACCCTGATGAATGGAGGCAAAGGCAATCTTAGTGAACTGTCTACAAGTCAATCTAGAAATCTCGACATCTGAACAGTGTCTGCAGGTGCATTTTAACCCATGTCTGCGGAACTTCATGTGCAACCATCTCAAACATAATCACTCAAACTATTTTAAATGTAGAAAGAAGGATGTGAGATATCAGAGGCTGTGATGTGTTTGTGTGTGATGTCAGAGGAGTCGTGTGTGTGTGAGTTGTCAGGGGAGCAGTGCAGTGTGTGTGTGTGTGTGTGAGTTGTGAGAGGAGCCGTGCAGTGTGTGTGTGTGTGAGAGAGAGAGTTGTGAGAGGAGCAGTGCAGTGTGTGTGTGTGTGTGTGTGGTTGTGTGTGTGTGAGAGAGTTGTGAGAGGAGCAGTGAGTGTGTGTGTGTTGTGAGAGGAGCCGTGCAGTGTGTGTGTGTGTGTGTGTGTGTGTGAGTGTGTGTGAGTGAGAGTTGTGAGAGGAGCCATGCTGTACATGGACTGCTCCTAATTGTGGAACATCTACCAGATGTGCAACCCACATGCTTTGACCGAAATTAAAAAACAAACACATGAAAGGGATTTTTTCCCTTTGTAAAAAAAAAACTGACAGTTGTCAGATAATATAATGGATGAGAAGAACCACATGAAACAAAGGAGGAGGATGTTGGTGCACTTTTGTGGTTCTATTGTGTTTCCTGTTCAGGAGTTCAGGGCCCATATGTCACCGAGGGGCTCAGAGAGGTTTTGTTCATGCAGATTTCTCACCCCCCCGATCTTCTCCTGCACAATGTCATCAGCGTGTGTGCTCTTAAATTTAATGGCCATATTTAAAGACATCAAACCACAAAAAACTAGCTTAAAATGTTAATTTCCTTTTAATCTGTTTGCCATTCCTAGTGTTTTTAAAGGATGTATATACATATTTAAATAATAAAGCAATCTTCAGTACAATCTATGCTCCACATTATTGAGTTGGTCACGATGTTTTATTGACCATACAGTAGAATACCAGAAGCTATATGGAACATGCTGCTTCATTACCCTTGGAAACTGCTTTAGATGTACTAGTATGACTAATACTGTACCATTTTAGCTAGTAATAATTTTTAAAAAGGGAATTTTAATAGGTGTTGTCAATGGGATTTGATTCATTCAAAGCAGTTTACAGCTGCTCTGTGGTAAGGATCACGCAAAGATTTCAACCACTAGTAAAGGTTACTTTGAACCAACCTGGCCTCTAATTATACTAACTCAAACACCAGCAAACAACCGATTTAAAAAAGGAGCCTTTAAACACAAAGTTTATATGACTTGGGTTGTAGGAAAACGGCAGCAACTATCTGATTACATTTAGTCAAGCACAGGAAAACACACATCAAGTGGAAAATCACCAATACCTACCTTTAAACATAGAAATAAAGAATTCATGATTTTTTAATAAGCTGCTGTTTTTGAAATGTGAATGAACTGCAAATGCCAGCATGTAAACCACATTCTGTATGTAAAATAGCAGGCTACCAGTTACACCAACACTTCTGGGACTGAAGGCAGTAAAAACGAAATGTTAGCTCTTTTTAGAGAGCACTGGGACTTTACTGGGATGGGAAAGAATGGCAATTTTTACAAAAATTAGTACAAAGCAATTATATTTCAGCAGCAGGTATATTGGGCTTTTTCCTAATTATGATGTGTAAAGCATGTTACAGGAACTCAGTTACCAATTAAGGTCATTTTACACTTCTGAGAAGACAGCTTTTTTTAATCACTCTTTTCTGGAAAGCATAAGGATGTCATTTTGACAGCAGTATCACACCAGCATCCCACCTAAACTTTTTTTTAGGTGTCAAACACCATTCTTGAACTTGAATTGACTCAGAGCTCTTTGCCTTTCGATGTGGCCAGCCTGGGCTGGATTAAACAGCTGCACCCTCCAGTGGTCCATCAGCTTTCCAGTAGACAGTTCATGTTGTGAGACTGGTTAGCACCCTCAGTTCCCCCATCGGATTAAAGCAGGAGGCTATAGCCCCAGTCCAGGTTTACATCACATCACTTCCAGTACCACTTATCCAGTACAGAGTCCTTGAAATCCAGGATCAAGTCTATCCCGAGAAGCATTGGGCAGAAGGCAGGCTACACCCTGGATGGGACGCCAATCCATCACTGAGCAGACAGACACAGACACTCACAACAGGGCCAATTTTCCCAGAAGCCACTTAACCTTCCAGCACATCTCTGGACTGTGGAAGGAAACCAGAGCACCTGGGGGGAGACCCATGTAAACATGGAGAGAACATACAAACTCCACACAGATCCCCTTAAGAGTTGAGCCCATGGTTCCTTTGCTGTGAGGCAGTATTGGGAACAGCTGCCCAGGTCACCAACTGCAATCCGTAAAACAATAACCTTCCCCAACACCGCTTATAGGATACCTGTAACTAACTAACTAACCTGCAGGATCTAGGCTCTCCAAGACCAGGATTTGAGATTCAACTATAACCAACTATAGGGTTATGCTCAGTGCTCAATGACCAGCTTCTAGTATTTAAAACTAAAGCTACTGTGAAGCCTGTAGCTTCTACTTCCTCTCTGGCAGGAAACTCTAACAGTGTTCTATCAGTGTGATAAAAATGTAATGTTTTTTCTTCTTGCATCTCATTTTCAAAACAACCAACCCACACAGTTCTCACAGTCACCGATTCTTTAAAACAGAATACTAGGTATTCCAAACAAGTCCAATTGTAAAACAAAGGGCCTGAAAGTGTAAAAGGAATACAGCAAAGCAGGTCAGGAATTTGCTTCATTTTTAAATTTAGATCCTTTAGAACAATCGTTTAAAAAAAAAGAGATGCACAGAGTGACAATAACACCTACTTCAGAACATCTGAATTACATTTATCAGAAGCAAAAATGACACTGGTTTCCTGTCAGAGATCGTGCCGATAGCGGAGAACTTCACTCTCACATCTCACCCAACACCCGCAATGCGCAGCGCCCTCTGCTGTCTAAAAAAAAGATCGCAATCCAATGCTACCAAAATAGCCATTTCTTGTTCGATTTTTAAGGTTTTTTTTTTAAATGTACATTTTACATTAAAAAGGTAATCAAACTCCCTTTCATTTTGTCTTTTTTTCTGTTTTAGAAGTTACGGTAGGATATTTTTTACTATTGTTCTTGTATACCAGGTGAGAAAAACTCCAGGTGTGTTTAATCAAACCCTCTCTCTCGTGTTCATCACAAACATGAAATCAGACAAGGCTGAGCACTGTCACGAGCACATGCCTTCAAGGTTATCACCCTTTTCTGTTATCAATTTTACCGGATAACGACCAGATAGGAATAACGACTGAGAATTTTAACACATGAAACATAGCTGCACGGTAACAAATCACCCTGCTCCTAAAACTAAAATAAAAAGGGCCCAGAACACTAGGTAATTTAAAAAAAATCGCTAAAATATTTTTTCCTGTATAAAATTAATCTTGCTCGCACATGCAAGTTCAAAGAACTTCTGACTCGGTAAACATTTGTCGATAGTGGTGGTGTTAGTTCAATCTGAAAATGTTGTACATGGCTGGGATACATTTTCTAAAGTCTTCTTAATAAGAATGAGAAAAAAAAGGTTAAAAAATGAAATATTTCCCCTGTCGCAGCAATTCTTTAATGACCATATTTAGATCTTCGCCTCGTTGTACAAAGGATAATGAGCAGAAATACAAACCCAGGTGTTTTTCTTGTCTTTGCTCTTTTACAGAGTACGAGCACCTGAACAGCTGCTGCTGGAGACCGGCTGGCTTGTGCACAGTCCCAGGAGCCCCACCTGTCCCCCACCTGTCCCCCAGCTGCTGAGACCCTGCCGGTGGGTCTGTTAGGCGAGGGCCTTGCCGAGAGGCGGGAGGATCAGTCTGCCTGGCGCGGGGGGCGCTGCTGGCACCGAGACACACCCCGCTGGCAGAGAAGACTGCAGATTACCCCCTCCGCGGGGACGAGCGTCTGAGGTTTTTGCTCGGCCTCCCGGCTCGCTCCCGGAGCAGCAGTTTCCCCAGCTGCAGTTTCCCAAAGAGTTTTACCTAGCGTGTGCTTTTTGTCTCCAGCTTTTAAAAAATAAAGATCTAGCTATCATCTAGGAGAAAGAAAACAGAAAAGGCTGTTTCTGTTTTCTAGTAAAAATACTGTCGGTGACATTGTCCCATTTCATAGAAAGCATGCTTCACACAAGCTTGAGTAATGAGAAGAAAGCAGGTAATTAATGGTTTGGCAGATTAAGACCCAGTCTTTTGTAATATTCACAGCCTGGTGAATATTATTTTGCTGGGCATCCTTTAAAACATCTACCATGGTTAAGTTCAGTATTTTTTAATCATACTTTCCATCATAGAATGCAGTAATATATATGAATTATTATATCACAGTGCACATTGAGGCTGAGGAGGTAGACATTTCTGGATGAAACAGAGAAGCAGTCTGGCTCACTGTCGTCACTGAGCTCACATTTGCTTTCTGTGCTTTATTAAGCTGTACAGTGTGACTTCTGTCAGGACAGGAGCTGTCAGCTGGTCTCAGGAACAACAAGGCCACTATCTTGTTGACATTACAAGGCTCTGCTGCACCTGTCATTGCTGATGGGTGGGAAAGAGACTGGAACCTTCCTGGAAAAACACCATCATGTGACACATTGGTTCATGGAGATATATATATATATCAATATCTAATCCTACATTTTTTCATTATCCCCCATGTCCCATCTCTGGTTTCTGCAGTTGTGCAAGTAGAAATGGCATAAGAAATGACATTAGAACAAAATGATCCCTGTAGCAGATGGGAACAACTTCCGCTGTTGCCGTTCGAGACGCTTTGGTATCTATCTACTGCAGTTCAGACCCAGGAGACTCAGTCCCACGATTCCAAGCTAGCATTGGAAGCAAGGCCGAGCCGGCCTTCTTGACTGACACCAGCTGTCACACTCTGGGGCAGCAGCGAGCCATCCAGCGCACTGCGGGTGTGATTCTCCAGCAGGACCGCAGGGCTGTCCGGAAATAGCCTCAGCTCATCGAGCGTCATCGAGTGTGAAGCTGTCCGGTGTGCAGACATGTTGAATTCAGACATATTTTCTGCAGACGTCGGGGCCGGCAGGTTAGAAGAGATCTGCCCCCGGGGGGCTCCTGGCAGTGGGCCGCTTGCCTGCATCTGCTTGCTGTCAGCACTGGCGTCTGCTGCTGTGTGGTCGGACGGTGGCCCTGGAGGCGTTCTGCCCACTGGTGCCTTTTCAGCAGCGGGCTGGCGCAGCAGGGAGGGCTCAACCGCCGTTGTCGGAGCATCAGGAGCCCCTTGCAGGGCATGGCTGTAGGCGGCAGAGGAGGCTAGCGCTGTGTGTGCTGTGACCCGGCTGCTGTCCTCTCCGGTTTCGTCCTCAGCTCCCAGGAAAGACGCAGAGGACGCCAGCTCCGGGTGGTCAATCAGACCCACGCCGCGTGCTTCCGGGAGTTTGCCAACGTGAACTCCTTCACGTTCCTCCGCTGCCGTGCCTGGAATTCCTCTGGGTGGTGGAGGCCCTTTGGATAGTGCCTTGTCATTCTCGGGCCCACCTGTAGGAGGCGCTGCCCGCCAGCCACTTCCCCTGGTGTCTTCCTGTGGGCCCCCCGAGACCTGCGCTGAGGCCGTAGGGGTGAAAGCTTTACCCAGCATGCCTTGCAGCCCCGTCTCTTGCCCTGACGTTGAGGTGGCGGTTGCCGAGGGGAGAGGGCCTGCACTGCTCCCGCCTCCAGCCGCCTGAGCAGGAGAAGCCGAGGTCGGGAGCGATGGACTGACGAACGGCGCTGGGGACGACTCGGGAGAGGGGGATTCAGGCTGGGGCGCTGGGTAAAGACGGGAAAGGCTGCCCTCAGCACCTGCGGGCGTCACTGTGTCTCCCACTGTGGTCACCTGCGACAGGGATGAGGCCAGTGGTCTAGCACCGTCCCGGACAGATGTGGAACTGGGACCTTCGAACGGAACCGGAACTGAAAGGCTCGTCCAAGCGGGGGCGGCTGTGGGGTTTGTCCCTGTTCCCTCCGGGTCAACACCCATGCCAGCCTGCACGCGGGGCGCCAAGGAGGCTGTGCCAGGGACCGGCTGCCTGGCGCCAGCGTTTCCCGTCGGCTGCCCGGAGTCAGCCGGCGCTCGATCCGCAGTGGGAAAGGGCCAGGAAGCGAAGGGCTCGGTGGGAAAGGCGTCGGAGGGAGTCGCTGCCGAGCTCCCCAGCCCTACGCTGCCTGCCGGAGACGGGTCTACAGCTGGAAATTCTGTTATAAAAACGAATACATCGTGTTAATTAGGAAAAAGAAAGCCCCCGCGAGACATGCAAATACAAAAACAACAGGCCGACAGCTGCATTCACGCTCTCGCTGTGGATCTGGCGAGAACTAATTGAATCTGTTAGATATATAAAAAGAGAAACGCAGGGCTTGTGCCCTTGAATTACAGCATTCCCACCCCCCACCCCCCCTTCTTTTCTCCGTCAGCTCTATCAGAAAACGTCCCTAATCCCACTAATTTAGCAGGGGAGGCTTCACACTGGGAATTCACAGCTTGGCTCCGTGCTCAGGTGCCGTCACCAGAAACCCCAAACCTCGCGGCCACCTCTGTTCCTCCAGCAGGCAGGAGAACACCAGGATTCCATTACAGATAAGCAGGCAGCAGGCAATCCCAGCTGCCTCGCTGGCCCGTTCCTGCAGACGGCAGCATCCCGTAAACACTTCAGGGCCCACGACTCGCCAACAGGCTGGAACACGGGTGAGAGAACATACTGGCCATGTGCACTGGAAACGCGTCCCGCTCATGTCGCCCAGACAGACAGAGACCTTTACTGCGGTATGTCATAGTAAAAAAGGTGGAGGGTAGTAAAAGCACAACAGTGGAATCATGGTTCTCCTTGGGAGGCAAAAGCAGGATAAGGACTTGAGGGACAAGTGGAAAAGGGGGATCAGCATCCAGTTTGGGATAGAAATGTAGCCTATGAATACCAGATTTGATTCTGAGCTTTACGCTTTCCCCTGCAGCCAAAAACATGTAATAAAATATCTGGCATTAACTCTTTTATTGAAGAGCCCATTAATGTATCCTTTTATGTATAATATTGATTTGATTGTGCACAAATATTGACTTCTTCCGAGGGGAACCGGAGGTTATGTTTAAACTCTTGAAATTGCATTACATGGAGCTCCCAAGGGCGATCCAATAATTCCGAGTAGGAAAAATAAATGAATTCCATGGGAAAGCAAATATTTGTGTCATTATATTGCTTAATCACATCCAAGTTCAATTAATTCTTTCAGGCAATCCAAAGGAGCAAGAGGGAATCGATTAGAGCTGCGTTCTTGAGGATGAGGTGAGGACCAGCAGGCCAGAGCACCGTGTCCAGCAGGCTGGAGCCCAGAGGACCAGCAGGCCGGAGCACCGTGTCCAGCAGGCTGGAGGCCCGAGGACCAGCAGGCCGGAGCACCGTGTCCAGCAGGCTGGAGTCCCGAGGACCAGCAGGCTGGAGCGCTGTGTCCAGCAGGCCGGAGCGCCGAGGACCAGCAGGCCGGAGCGCCGTGTCCAGCAGGCTGGAGTCCCGAGGACCAGCAGGCCGGAGCACCGTGTCCAGCAGGCTGGAGTGCTGAGGACCAGCAGGCTGGGCATCACCGCAGCCTGGCGAAGAAGGGTTCTGGTGCAGCTTTGCACCACACAAACAAAGGTACAGGTACCCAGCTGAGCTGTTCAAATCGATACCCTGGTTTCTCTGAAGAAAAGACTGGACGAGATCCTGGGATTAAATTCAATTACCTACTTCCAAAAGGCCCAAATATCATCTCATTCCCTTGGGTGTTTAAATCTAGGTCTTGGAAGACACTTTGGAATTAGAAACACAGAAATAATAACAGAACTCTCAATTTACACTACATGACGTACATGACATCATCCTGCAAACACTGGGCGATATGGAAAGCATGAGGCTAAAAGTTGAGATGCTGAGCCTTTTGTCATCCAAGTTGCTCTGTACACAGAGTACTAGATCACATTGTTTAAGTATCCATCAGCAGAGATAAAAACACCTTCTCTTTTGTATAATCAACTTAACTTGACTAGGTTTTGAGATTGATAAAATGTGTATTGTTCATCTGAGAATTCCAGCTTTTAATGCAACATTCTGGATGGTTTGAAGGGTTTTTCAAGTACTGAATGAACTGTAATTTCAGGATTGAAAAATCATAAACTCTTTGAAGAGTGAGAAATCCTTTTCAGATAGACGTTGTTATACAGTAGATGTGAAACTAACAGAAGGTACAGGCTTAAACTATGGTCTATTTATTCTTCACTGTATTCAATAAGATAAATTGCAACTAAATTGTATTAATTTAGTTGCTACTGTATGTGACAATACAAAAAGAATACTTACCACTACATGGAAAAACATTTTCCATACTCCAGTATACTCTGTATGGCATTTCTCTGAAAGTCAGAATGACATCCACTCTAAAGAATAGCTGCAGAAGTGATTCACTTGCAGAACTCGTGCAACTCTGTAAGAGTTATAGGAATGAATAAATACTTGTCTTCTTTATCACCAAGCAGAGGACAATACGTTATTCCTGGCATTTATGTTCAAGAAAAAGAAATGGGGTTTATTATTAATGGAACACAATAATAAATAAAGATAAGACTGTCACACACAAAAAAAGCTGTGTGTACTAAATGTAAGGGCAAAAAATATCCTGAGTTCTGCACATGGTGTTAGTTGGCTAAGCAGACAAACTCACCTTCCTCTGGAGAATGTGATCTGTGGGGACTGTAAGCTGGAGAAAGTCGTGGTTTTCAGACACTGAATAAACGTCTGTTTGTTTTACGATTACAGAGAGTAGGTTCAGGCTCTCCCTGTCGTAGCCAGCCCTCTTGATTAAGCCCATCCTGCGCTTGGAGATGTGCAATACAGTCTCATCTACTGGGGAGCTGGACACTGCAGGATGAGAAACAATCACAGGGCTGTCCACGCACGGAGTGACTCCTAGTGCCCGGGGGACTGCTGGCATGCAGGAAGCCCACAGTGCCACGACAGCTGAGAGGCAAGACCGAGCTGATGAGGAGATTCCACACTGGGATGGGATGAAGGACTGGGGACTCTCGGAGAGAGGAGTAGCGCTCCTGGCTGGGGCTCGACCTGAACTGCACAGAGTCCCGAGGAAGCGTGGCGCTGCTGCTTCTTTGCTGACTTTAAACAACCCCCCCCCAGTGGATGGGATAGGATGGGATGGAGGGGAGATTCATGCCCTGAAGTTACTGCACTCATCCCCTCACACACTTCCAGCCCTGTGGTTCTCCTTGCTAAACATCCAGTGGGGAAACAGCCACTGCTACAGTTTTCTCCTCCTGGACTTCATGAACTAATCTGGGTGGCGTGTTAATTACTGTAAAACACATCAGATATTTGTAAGGAAGCTGCTGTAATTGCACTGTATGTGTGGAAACGTGTTAATGTGTATAGGCCATGTTCAGCTGTGCATTTAATATTTAGCAGTATTATACTAGATTGATTAAAGTTTTTTGTACTATGATTAAGTGATACGTACCGTTAGGGCAGTTAGCTTCCATGCTGTAGGCATAGTACCCACTGACTAACCAGAGAGGCAAGACGTCAATTGCTCTTCCCATCACCTGTAAAATATGGTATCAATTCATTTTCTATGCCACTAATAAGGTTAGAAAGTTAGAAAGGCCCGGTTCTGTTTGGTTCTGCTCTCCAGCGACGCCAGATTAGGAAATGTAACTCTCATGCTGCCCAGCCTACAGAATGTCAAAGGGGACAGCAGCAATACAGCAATACTGAACAAGTTAAGAGACGTGAGCTGGAATAAACAGATTTCCGCTGCAGTTCTTCAAGGCCACACGAGATGGCAGTGTGATCCTACCCGAAACACCCAACTGTACTTCGCCTACAGCTTTAGTCCCGTCTCCACACTGAGCGTCGGTTTAGAACAGGTAAATTCCGTGTTATTGGTAAAGAATATAAAAAGGAGGTTCCTTACCTCCACTGAGTCCATTATTTCCTTTCTCTGGCCCTGCACAGTGATGTTGGAGCCTCTGGTTTCAGCGCTCAACTGGATCAGGCTGGAGTCTTCCAGCGCCGCTACCAGCTCTCCTCTCAAAGACAGGGACCAGCGCAGCTACAGCACACACAGGTAGATTATCCTCGTACACTTCTTGTCATAGTTTCCATTTTTATAATGTTATTTGAAAGAGAGGGGGGGTAACACGGCGACTTTTTTAATTAAAAAAGGTATATTCATGTAGAAAACCCTCAATGTAAAAACTCATCAATCTGGTTTTGTGCAAAACACTCTACCTCATTGTTCCAGCTGTCCCGGTGAAGCGGTCTGGTTACCTGTGGAAATTATATAACAAAACGTAATTCACTTCGTTCTACTCATTAAGAATTTTAAGCATTTCCCTTCATAAACCATAAAGCCATTTGCACAGGCTGAAAACGCAAGGTCCTTAATGAAATACAGTTTGTCTCATTCAACTACTTTGTTTTTTAAACTGTTCATTTGAAAGCTGCAATTGTCCCACTATGTGCCTTATTATTAGAAGCTCAAGATGCATTGAACCACTGTAAGACCACACGATTCCATCCGTTCTGACGCAGCTATGACTTCTGCCTTATGCAAACAGCTGCAGACGTCGTGCTTCGGTAATCAGCATTGCTCAAGTCCCAGAAGAAAAAAAAAAAACATCTCGGCTCACTTGAACATAGTCAGGATCGCAGTGAATGTGAACTCCACCAGGTGGCGCTGTCACCAGCGGACATTTCATGACAAGTCTGTTACTTCTCCCACCGAACCTTCCAGGTCTTTTCATCAGGTTCAGTACCAGGATGTAGTTGCTGTGCTGGAAAAAAAAATAAACCCAATCATATTGGTAGGTTAATTGGCTTCTGGGAAAACTGGCCCTGGTGTAAGTGTGTGTGTGTATGTGGACTGTGTGCGTGTGTGCCCTGCAATGGACTGGTGTCCCAACCAGGGTGTATCCTGCCTCGATCTTGCTGCTTACTGCTTGCTGGGTTCGACTACTGCTCTCCTGCAACCCTGTATTGGCTATTGGTCTCCATCAATTGGTGAGAAAATTGATGGAGACCAATAGCAAGTCACGTCCCTGCAATAACTTCATACTGAGGTCCCATCTGAAGTCATAAACTTTGCAGAAGCCGGGAAGGCCACTCAGCCTGTCTGACTCGTGTGTTAAATGATCCGAGGACTTCATCCAGCTGTTGCCTGAAAGCAGCGGGTGGACTTGATACAAAGGTTCACATTCCTGCAGTAAAACACGAGTTTCAAGCAGTGAAACTGGAACACGAGCACATACAGTAATGCTCGTGTAACTTCTCAGGAAGTGTTTCAGGACATAGAACTGGCAGCACTTTTTAACGGGGGTGTCTGGGAAAAAAAGCTAGCACACCCTGCTGCTGAAGCCTGGTCCCTGGGACTCCCCGGGAAATGCCTGGCTGAGGTCCTTGGATCAATAAGAGATGAACCTCAACAGGAGACCTCTTGATTGGCGCATCCTTGTGTCCTTATTTTCCCCATCTATCGCTAGCTCGATTTTGAGCTGGAAAGGGCGTTTTTTGTTTTTTAAACTGCCGACTGGCATCCGGGTGCCGAAGGTGCCGAATTGACTCGATCCAGGCGCCGCTACATTCGCAGAAACATACTTCCAGCCGGACGGAGCAGCCGCTGTACATCACTCTGAAACTGAAGTGCCGGTCTGCGTCTCTGTGGAGCGCGTACCCGCAGGCGGACAGCCGCCAGCTCAGCTCCTCCGGCGACGTCAGGCTGACTGAGTTTCACAGGAAAGACAAAAGGTGACCAAGGTCGCGTCGGCTTGACAAGAGGAAAGACACTGCCAAACCTTATTGTTCTTCCTATGAGGCCCGAGGTAATTTGAGTCAAAAGATGCAAAATCCAAAAGGGTCACATGATTTAAGTAACTGCCAAATATTGGAAATCTTACAATGCGAATAGCATTTTTTTTCATCTTAGTTCACATTAGGCAATGCATTATTGCAATGCATTTCATATTACAGTGAAAACAAAGACACTGAGAAGGACACCCAACGGAAGAAAACATGATTGTTTTTTTTTTCCTGGAGCTTTACACCCGTTTTATTCAACCTTGCGTCCCGGACGAGGCTCGCGAAATGCAAAGTGAAGCTGTTTTACGAGCGCCGTGGGTGGCTTCTGTAATGTTTGGTGTTCGGTGTCCTAGCTTACACGAGAGTTCATACAATACTGGAGCGTTAAGTACGTTTTACAGTCAATGCACAGTATTAGACCCGTATTTCATCCGAGTTTGCTGCGGTTTAGCGCTGCAAACGTCTCACTGGAGAAAGACACCGGTAAGTGTACCGTTGTCTGCTGGGTCTCACGGCGCCGCTTTGTTCTAACGGTTTCTGGAGATACCGACAAAAAAAAAAAATCCCGGATCCCTCTGGAACGGAAAGATTTCTGTACCTGGAACTCTAAGCGCTCCGGCCAGCCAGAGTCTCAAACCTTCAGCCCTGCTCCTGTGCACCCACAGATCCATGTACTCTGTGAAGCACTCCACATCGCCCTCTGAAAACACAGCACACTTCAGACAGCAGCTCCTGGGAGGCCAGAAGACCTCGGCTCGGAGCAGACAAAAAACACAGCCCCACAAGCTATTAGAGACAGACAGCCTCGTCTTTTTCTTTTTACAGTATGTCCAACTTGTAAGAGGCAATTAAAAACGCATACAGCAGCTGGTCCAGATGTTATAATAGAATTCCCAGGCTGATTAAAGGTGCGTTTTACACTGTGAAGTACACTTCCTTGAGCACTTACCAAACCAGTTCATTGTTATTATTTTTTACTTTTAACTAAACCAGAGCAGATTTTCCGTGATGGGATGCACGCTGCTACAACCCAGAACAGTAAGGCTCCATACCTGCGCTTTGCGCTGCATCGCCAAACCCGTCTCTCGGTAGAACTTGAAACGGGCGCCCTCTAGTGGACATTGGCCAGAAGCTGGAGAAAGTACACAAGATAACGTACTACATTATTCTCTTTCAAGAAATCTAATAACACTTAATATAGTTACACCAATGTTATTTAAATGAAATACAATATAGTAAATTATATCATTTATGCAGTAGTACTAAACATCTCTACGACATCACACAAGTCTTCAGTAAATCATGCAAAGGAACAAGTAATAGGTTTATTCCATGCCGAAAAAAAGGCTCCACGGCCGAAACGTTGTGTTCTCTTCTTTTTTTCAGCATGGAATAAACCTATTACTTGTTCCTTTGCAGCCTACGCATGCTGACGCAGCTACCCACCTTCATTAAATCATTTCAGACTAGATGTATGAGGAACATACAACTACATGTATCTTCTATGCATTTAAATGGGCAGAGGCGTGTGTGCATTTGTTTTTATGCATCACATGCATGTAACGTCAGTGTCAGATCGTAAGACTCGTGTGCTTTATTTGCATCAGGGCCAGATCCTTGAATCTCACAGCAAAACGGGGGAGCCACGCTGTTCAATTCACAGTAACGTCCAGGAAATGGCAAAACAGTTTCCTCTGATAAAGCCCCTGCAACTCACAGCAAGGGAACGAAGCGTTTCCCCCAGCTCACGGCACGGATACTTACAAGCTCATGATAACGATACACGCCGTTATCCGGTCCATGGCGAAGCCCGAGAGGTGATGTGTGAGGCCCCCTTTACAGTGCCTGGGTATTTATCAGCACCGCAGGTGAGTCGCGTTTGTGTACACACACCCCACGCCCAGGACTGAGGAAGGAAAGGCAGGACACTGAAGAGTGACCTGTGAAAATCAACAGGAAGATGAGGAGGGATCAGAAGAGAGGCCGCTTCAGCCGCAATTAAGATGTAAATTGCGTGGTCAGTCTCGAAGTTACACATTACAAGTCATTTTGCCAAGGAGAATAAATCTGGAGCACTCTTCCCCTTTAACCAGCTTTTCGCATTATTAGATCAAATTCCAGTCTTCTTACAAAGGTTTTTAGAAATATGTGCGAACCTTAAGAGCTGTTTGCAATAAGGATTGTTTTATTTTTCAGTGTGTCACAGCACAGTTACGAAAAAAAACATTGTGTAAATTCACCAGAGGACTTAAGCATTCCTCAAATGAAGCAAATGAAGAAACGTGTGTTAAAAACAAAAATGCTTTTTTAGCTGCAAGCTAAAGTTGTTTCACGATACACAATTCGTGTTAAACAAGTCAGTGTAAACAATTTGCAAAAACGCTCGTGTGCTCCGAACGAATTGCGCGGTGTGTGTGTGTTAAAATCCGCAACAATGGCAGGTCCACTTGCTTTAATATAATACAGCAGAAAGTGAGAAGTCTTGCTCGTGATGAAGGAGAAGTGAAATTCACCATAACTAATTATATCAGATCCTTCCCACATCCTCAACTCTGAATATCAACTTCTTCCTTCTGGC